GCGAATTGGCACCGAAAAAATTTGAAGATGCAGAATTGCAAGCAATACTCGAAGAAGATTCATGTTTATCGCTCGATAAGTTGTCAAAAGAGTTAAATATTGATAGATCCACTGTTGGAAAACGTCTACACGCAATGGGAATGGTGCAAAAAGAAGGAAATTGGGTGCCATACAAATTGAAAGAGAGAGACATGGAAAGACGTTTGGTCATCTGGGAGATGCTTCGTCAACGACAACAAAGGAAGGGTTTTCTACATCGTATCGTAACTGGCGATGAAAAATGGATCTACTACGATAACCCTAAACGCTTGAAAGCATGGGTGATGCCAGGTGAACCAGGTCCATCAACGCCAAAACGAAATATCGATGCTTCGAAGATTATGTTGTGCATCTGGTGGGATCAGAGAGGTGTTATATATTATGAGCTGCTGAAACCGTCCGAAACCATTACTGGCGATCGTTATCGACTACAACTGATACGTTTAAACCAAGCTTTGAAAGAAAAACGACCGGAATGGGACAATAGGCACAACAAGCTGATTCTGTTACATGACAACGCTAGGCCACACGTTGCAAAACCGGTCAAGAAATATTTTTTTTGATAAATGAATCGCTTCAAAAGAACCAGATTTTTTCATTCGAGGAATCCGTTTATTACCGGAAAAGTGGGAGAAAGTTGTCGCTTCCGAGGAAGCATACTTTGAATAAACTCACTTATATAGATTTGTTTAAATAAACACATCTTTTTCTTTTCAAAAAGCGCGGAAACTTATTCCCATACCCAATATATTTATTTCACTTTAACTTATTGCACCGGATGCACTAGTCCAAAGAGTGCAAGAATAAAAAACGGATTTATATTTAATAATTTTTGTTTAAAAAAATTGTAGGCACACCGCGCTCTTATCGTTGCACGCAGCAAAAAAGGCTTTATGCAACGGCATCTGGCTAGTTCCTTTCACAAGGAATGATACATTTAAGGGTGCATCGTTATAAAGTAACCAGTTATTTTCTCTGTTATAAGTACTAATAATATCAAATATCTTTGCGAACTTCTTATTCAGTAAGACAGTTTCCATTATCATGATAGTTTCTCCTCAGGATTTACCTCATTAATTGACATCATTCCGTAAATAAATCTTTTATGACGTTTTTTTACTTTAAAAATTAACCCTCGAACCACACACTGAGTCTTTCGTATCCATTCCATTTCTAATAGTTCTTAGACATACGAGGTGTGATCAAAAAGTAAGGTGACTTTTCATTTTTATAAAAAAATATTCATTTATTCATCCAAAATTATGTTATCCCCTTCAAAATAATCCCCCTCTGATACAATGCACTTGTGCCAGCGCTTTTTCCAGTCG